GTGCCGGGGCGGTGGCCATCGTAGTCCCTGCTGTCGCATTGGGCGGCGCCCCCCTGGGTGGCCGCGGCCGCTGCCGCGCTCATCGCCGCCAGGGCCCCCCCCTCTGGCTGCGCTCCGCCGGGCCCGGCCTGGAAGGCTGGCGTCGGGCCGCCTCTCGGCCCCAACGGCGAGGCTTCACGCGGCTGGGCGTGGCGGCACCCTCAGCTTCGGCACCGTCGTGCAGGTGGGCCCCATCTCTGGCGTCGTCCTCTCGACGCGCTGCGGACGCCGTGAGGTGGTCACGATGGCGGGGGGCGTCGAAGGCATGGCTTTCCTCCTCGAGGACTGGCGCCGCGCCGACTTCGTCAATCACTGGCGGGGTTCGGACGCCAGGACATTGGCGAGGATGCTTGCTACCTCGGCGCCACGCAGCTGGCTCTCAGCCACGGAGGTCGCCAACGAGATCGCGGACCCAGCCTTCACCCTCGTGCCCAGGTCCACCGCCTGGTGCGTGTCTTGGCTGCTTCGGGAGAACGGACCGGTCCAGCACCATGAGAGTTGGAAGTCTCGCGAGCGTCTCAGCACCTCCGATTTAGGTGTGTTTGAAGACCACACTCGCAGCACGGTGCTCGAGATTCTGGCCACCGTCGATGAGTTGAGCGTCTCGAACTTGGTCGGGGTTGCGCGGCTGGCGCGGAAGTAGCAGCTCATCGAACTTTCTTGGGACGAGAGGCAGTGCGAGCAGGATTCTAGCTAGCAGAAACTTCAGGATTCTAGCTATCAGAAGCTTCCGATTGAGGAGATCGGCGCCTTCATGGGCGGGGCAGGCGCGGCCAGCTGGCCCAGCATCATGATTTGTCCTGTTCTTCTCGACGTGGTCGGCAAGGAGCTCGAGCGGGTCGGCCACCTCGAGAAGCGCGCTCGAAAGTTGCGGCAGGAAGCAAAAACCACCTCTGGGGCCAAGGCCGGAGGCCCAAAGTCATGGTGACTCCAGTCCCCGAGGGGCCTTTTGGCCCAGCCTCTCTGGGCGCTACGGCGTCAGGGCCCACCTCGGCGTTCACCTGCGGCGACGAGGATGTGGATGGCAGGCTTGGCGGCGCGGGCGCGGAGCGGCAGTGGGATATCTTTCCGCTGCCGGTGCTGGCGGCTGCCTGCCCCTGCAGGCTGGCCGGGGGCGGGTCGCCGGACTGCGTCGGCGCCCTGGCTCGTCAGGCAGGCGGTGGAATCGCTCAACGGCCTCAGTGGCTCGGGCGCAGCAGCGGTGCCCACATTGGGTCGTGGACTCCGTCTCGCAGCTAGGCCCCCCGCCGGGCGACCTCGAGCCTTTCGCAGCCCTCCAGGAGCTCTGGGCTACTCTGACCTACGACGGCTCGCGGTCGACCATGGCGGAGGCGATCGGCGTTCCCCGATTCTCATTCTCCCCGTCTGGCAACGCGCCCGTGCCGCTGGGCCGCTTGTTGGGGCCCGAGGTTTCCAGCCGCGTCTCTTTCGATATCGCGAGCAAGGTCCTGCCAACGACCAAAGGTACCTTCGGTTGAAGCGGCTTGGCGGCTTCTCGAAGCCCTGCGTGGGCCTGGCCTTGCGTGGCCCCCAGCGCTGTGCGATTCTGTTGACGAGGCTGCTCGACGCCGGGGTCATCGACCTGGTCTGCGATCCGCTCGAGGTGATTGACGAGGTCGGCCTCTTCAGCGTGCCCAAGAAGAGCGGGGGGCAGTGCCTCGTCGTGGACGCCAGGCCCGCGAACTTCTGGTTCGGCGCGCCTGCAGACGTCCACTTGGCCACTGGTGCCGCGCTGGCGGCGGTGGAGCTCCCCGGCGGTCCTGTGGGCGGCCCCGGCGGACGTCGCGGGCGCCTTCTACCGCGTGGGGCTGCCGCTGGCCTGGTGGCCGTACTTTGCCTTGTTGTCCACCGACGAGTGGCGGCTGGGGCGCTCCGCGGGCGCGGCGTCGGCCGGGTCTCGGAAGTTCTTGCCGAGGCTCGCGCTCATGCCTGCGGGCTGGGCCCGCGCGCTGGCCTTGCGCCAGCGGGTGGCCGAGTCGGCCGCAGACTGGGCGGGGCTTGCGCGCGCCGCGAGGATCGTGGACCGCCCGATGATCTGCCCGGACATGGGGGGCAGGAGCCACCTCGAGTACGTCGAGAGCTTCGCCGCGCTCACGCTGGGCGCCGCCGCCGCGCAGCGCTTCAAGGACGACGTGGTCAGGCAGCTGCGGTCGAGTTGTCCCTCCGCCCGCGAGCCGGAGCCTGGGGCCCTCGGGCGCAGTTGCTCGGCTGGGTGATCGATGGTCGTGGTGGGGGCGTGGTCTGGGCGCATCGTCGGGCCTGGCGGCTGACCTCGGCCACCCGGGCGCTGCTTGCGATGCCGAAGGTCTCGGCCCAGCAGGTGCGACAGGTCGTCCGGCGCTGCGCCTTCCCCTAGTGTGGCGCCCGCTTCCGTCTGTCTTCCCGGCCGTCTCCAGGTTTGTCGCGAAAGTTGGCGAGGCGCCCCGGGCGCGGTGGCCCCGCGCTGCCGGTGGGCTGACGTGGGCCACGGGGGCTGTGCCGCTTGCGCATGCCGACCTCTGGGCCCAGTCGCTCAGCCGAGTTTTGCGCTCGGATGCCCCCGAGTGGGGCTGGGGGGGTGCGAGCGTGATTTTGATGCAGATGTCGCCCCGGGGCATGGCCGCCTCCGGGAACGGCGGCGTTTCCAGGGCCCAGCCGCTCAGTGCCGAGGGGGCATGCCACCTCGGTGTCGAAGCCGATCGCGAGCAGCGACAACAGCGATCCACCCTCGAAGCCTAGTCTCATCAGCAGCCAGCCGGCGCTTTCTTCGGAGGGCCTGCCCTCACCTCTGCAGGTTTGTGGACACGGCTTCATATTTCACGCATCCCTTACCACGGGGGCGATGAATTCTGTGTACGATGCGGCACTGCAGTGGAAACTACCGAACATCGTCTTTGGCATTGTCCTTGCAATTGCGACGTTCGTGCGTGGCTTGATCAACAAGTTCCTGGCAGGTTTGTGGACACGGCTTCATATTTCACGCATCCCTTACCACGGGGGCGATGAATTCTGTGTACGATGCGGCACTGCAGTGGAAACTACCGAACATCGTCTTTGGCATTGTCCTTGCAATCGCGACGTTCGTGCGTGGCTTGATCAACAAGTTCCTGGTAACCAGTTTCCTGCCGGTCTTCCTCCTTGCCTTTCACGTTGTGGGCTTATCCCAGCTGACCTTCCTGCTGGTCTCACACTTCACAATGCTATATATGTTTCACAATATCTTCTGCGTGTGAATGCTATTGCCGCTCTGGCCGTGGCGGCCCACCGCGCGGGCAAACCAGTCCTACTGGAGCTGGATCAACCCCGGGCGCAACCAACCGAGGATATATACCGTGCTGCTCTACCTCCTCTTCGTCGTATCAAACGCCATGCAGGAGGACGGGGCCCTGGAGGAGGAGGAGGCGGAGGAGCACCTCGAGGACTCCACCTGCCTCCTCAGCCTGCTCCTGGTTTATTCCAGGCGCCGGACATCATCGCGCTCTCCTGCGACGGCTCCGCGCAGGTGTCCGACGAGGAAACGACCTCTGGCTGGGGCTTCACAGTGGCCATGCCGGCTTCGACCGGCTTATTGGATTTCTGTGGCCCTTCCGTCTTGGTTCCCGACCAACCGGGTTACTTCGGTGCTCAACGTCATACTAACAATGTTGGTTTCATTATCAGCGTTATTTTTCTCTCTGTCATGGGTGGTTGATTTCATTGCATCATCACCTTCTTCACCATCGTTTGTCATCGAGTATGACTCGGAGTACGCGGCTGGCGTGGCGCAGCGGCACCTCCGAGGGCGGGCGAATCTTCAGCTTGTTCTGCGGCTTCGCCATCTCTATGATCAAGTTGCTCGTCATGTTGTCTTCAGGAAGGTGGAGAGCCACACTGGGCAATTTCTGAACGAGCGTGCTGATCACTTGGCCGACTGTGGTGCCTGTGGGATCCTACGTAACCCGGCTGATGTTCATCGCTGGGCAAGCTCCTGGAGCTAATCTCTGCCGTCTTGGTCAGGAAGCCCCTGATCTTTTTCAGCATCATGCAGTCGCCAATTTGGCCGACGCGCAGGCCGCTGCTGCTGCCCGGCCGGGCGGAGCGGGAGTCGCCGATGAAACGGGCGGCGGGCCCGCCCTTCCTGGCCCCGGCGGCGCTTGTGGCTCGCCCGACACGGGGGGGCCGCGTCCGCGAACGCAGGGCATGCTGAGGAGGCGGCTCGCAGCGGGCTGTCGGAGCCGCGGGCCGGGCAGCCGAAGTTGCAGCCTGGCCAGGGCCGGGGGCCCCCGTGCTGAGGGCGCTCTTGGTGGCGGAGACCGCGCGGGCCAAGTAACCCGGGCTGTGGGGGGAGTTTCCGGTTTGGACGGGGGTTCCGCCCATGGCGCTCCAGTCGGAGACGGCCGACGTCATCCTCTCCCAGTTGCCCAGTGGATAGGCCAGAGGTGCGCCGATTGAGGGGTAGAGCCCGGAGCGGGGCGCCTACGTGCTGGCGGCGCTGAAGTAGATGTTGCCACAGTGTGCGCGCGGGGGGCCGGGGTTGCCGCTGGCGCTGCAGGCGCCGCGGCTGGCGCTGCAAGGTCCCCGCCGCGCCGGGCTCCAGCTCCCGCGGGGGATCGTGGCCCTCGACGCGACCGGGCTCATCGACGTCGAGCAGCCGCGGGTGGCGATCAACGTGCTGGCGACCTTCGCCGGCCACCCGCGGCCCTCGGAGCTTGCAGGGCACGGGTGTGGCATCTGATCCCCCCGACATCACGTGGCAACTGCCGCGGCTGGCCCCTGGTCCTCCACCCGTGCGAGGCCGCGCCGATGGCCCCCTGCGCTCTGCCGCCCTACGCCTTCCTGCCGTCCGCCTTCCAGTGGCTGAAGATGGTGGCCCGCCCGGGCAGGCCGCTGTTCCCTGTCTCCCTGTTGCAGGCCAGTAGCTCGTTCAAGCGGGCCGCCATCGATGCGGGGGTCGGGGTGCAGTCGCCCGAGTTGTATCGGCTGAGACACTGCGGCCCGTCGGCGGAGTTGGCCCGGCAGCTGCGGCCGCTCGCCAGCGCGAAGCTGCGCGGCCGATGGAGGTCCGGCGCGTCCGTCGCGTGGTGCCTGGAGCCCGGCCCCGTCAACGATCAGATGCAGCGGCTGGCGCCCGTCGTGCAGCGCGCGGCCCTGCTGACCTTGGCTGGGCTGGCCTCGCTCCTCGGCTCGCGTTGAGACGGCTGCTCGGTCCGCAAAGGCGCAGGTGATCCGCCCCGCCCGTTTTCGTCGAGGTCTTCTCGGGCGCAGGCGCCCGGGCGGACGCGCTGGCTGTCTGGATGCTGGCCTGATCTGGGGCATGCGCCGCGGCGCCCCCAGCCAGGCCAGGGCCGGGATCGGGGGCGCCGGGCCGCTCGGTCAGCAAGGCCAGCCAGGACCGCGGCCTAGCCGACTCAGGTCGGCTGCCGAGATCTGGGGCCTCGCTGCTGTCACGCGCCCGGCTGACCGCGCCCGGACTAGCTTTGCGAATCGGCTTGTGGCTAGCGCGTTTCTGCGAGGGCCTCCTTGTCCATGGTCGACGCATGCAAGTGCTTTTCACGATTGAGAATCTTATTGTCTTGAGACTTTGGCGCTCATCCCATCTTTGCAGCGCACCCGCAAGCAGCCGCGCGTCTGGCAGCCGTCCAATTATTGCCAGGATGGCACGCCCTGGAGAAGCCCATTGGTCGTCTCGGGCGTCGCGTTAATGTGGAATGCGGTGCTCGCGAGTGCCTCGTCTCGCGAAAGTGTAGCCGGAAAAGCGAGCCTTATCAGATTTTGTCTTGTCGTTCCCCTGGCGGGGCTCCGTGGACGCTCGTGGCGCTGCCGTGCCCCAGGCCGCTGGCCTCAAGCTGGGCCCGCGCTTTCGTTGATGCTCATCTGCGCTCGAGTGCTCTGCGCATGTCCTCCCTGTGGCTTGGTGGCTGGCCAGTGATGGGATGCCCTCCGAGGTGTTCGGGGAAATTTTGGCCGTGGGCCTCGCTGCAGAGTCGTCTCAAGCGATTTGCCTTTGCTGCCGAGGCCCCTCGTTCCTCGGTGCAACCTTCCGCTCCAGTAGTATAATCCGATGTTGGCCTCGGACAAACCATCGTCCAGGCGTGGTCGTTCTTTTGAAGTTCAATGCGTATGACGGGGTGGGGGAGAGGCCGAAAGCTTTCATTCCATAGCCTTTGGTTTTCGATCTCCTGCCCTGCCCATCCCGTATATCTCGCAGCGAGATTTCTCCGATCTGTGGGCCCTTCTGCAAAGCCATCTCGAATGATTTGCCTTCTCTGCCGAGGCTCCTCGTTTCTCGGGGAAACGTGTCGCTCCAGTAATTGAATCCGACACGTGCGTCGGAGAAACCATAGTCCAGGCATGATGGTAATGATGCCACTGACGATGCTGATGAAGATGGAGATGCTGATAATCATGGAATATTGATCGCGATGCTGTTGATGATGATCAGGGTCATGATCAGGATGATGGTGATGGTAAGAAATAGTGATGCTGATACTTCTGTGGGTGATGACGATGCGGCTGATAAGGACGGTGCGGATGATGCTGTGGGTGCGGACGTTGTTGACGATTCTGGCGAGGATGAGATGTTGAGAAGATGCGCAGGATGATAGGGGATGATGCTGAGAGGATGATAGTGCTGAGGATGAAAACGATGAGGATGAGGATGGTGATGGCCATGATTCTGATGACGGTGGTGATGAACATGCTGCTGTTGATGTTGATGATGATGACGACGACTGCAACGACGATGATGATGATGACACCGGCTCGTTGCTGGTTGTTGTTGTGTTCGTCGTCATCGTCTTCGTCGTTGTCGTCGTCGTTGTTGTTACTGTTGTTGCATTTGCAGTGCTGAATGATACTTATTGTTGATTCCCCCCCGGGCACATGCCGCTGTTCAATTGAAATGCATTTCCCGGGTTTCGTACCCTGTTGTTTATCAGGGAAACTCTTGGGTTCCAGAATTATGTCGTTGGCCCCCCTTATTTACAACAACAGCAACAACGGCTCCTGCCTAATATTTCCTCGCAAGTTATTCCCAAATCGCGCTTTCGCGCGGGACTTCCTTGTAATTTAAGCAGACATCGCGCTCTCGCGTGGGATTTCCTCGCAATTTATTCAGACGCCGCGCCCTCGACACTGAAGAATCACGCTCTCGCCTTGGCTTATCTTGCGATTTACTTGGGGATCGCGATGTTGTCCGAGATTTTTTCGCGATTCATGCACGACGCACGCTTCAGCAACCCGGCTGCTCAACCTGGCCGCCCGGGCCTGCCTTGCCGACCCGCCTGTGAAGGTCTGCCCGCCCGATCTGCCGGTCTGGTTTTGCCATGTATTTTCTGCTCCTCTCTCCCTTCCTGCTACTCTGTCTCGTGCTCCATCCTCCTCCCTCCCTGTTGTCCCTTTCTTCCATCCGTCCTCTCTTCCCCTGCCGCAGGGGCTGCGTGAAGTACACGGTGCAGGTAAGAAGTATATGACCCAAGGCGGCACGATCGAAGACGAAGAGGGCGGGTATCGAGGGTTTGGGATATACGTGTTGAGTGGTACGCGAGCAGGTAAGAGCGATCAGTCTTACATTGATTGTTGTTGTTGTTGTTGTTGTTGTTGTCGTTGGTGTTGTTGTTGGGTTGTTGTGGTTCTTGTTGTTGTTCTTGTTGTTGCTTTTGTTTTTGTCGTTGAGTTCACATTTTTGGGAAATATTTGTTGCTGACCTTCCTATCACCGGTGCACATGGCGTTCTGTCAATTGAAGAGCCGCCTTCGGGGCTCGCACCCTGCTTTTGATCAGGAAAAGTCTTCCTGCTCATACTGCGTTGTTGGGCTCCGACCTACAACAGAAACGCCTCCCGCCTGATACTTCCTCACCATTTGTTTCAACATCGCGCTCTCGCGTGGGACTTCCTCATATAAATTATGCATGAATCGCGCTCTCGCGTGGGACTCTCGCGCAATTTATGCAGGTGCCGCGCCTTCGGCACTCAGGAATCATGCTCTTGCCGTGGCTTTTCGGCTGATTTATTTGGAAATCGCGCCATAGCTCGAGACCTCCTCGCGCTTCATGCAGGACTCACGCTTGAGCGACCTGGCTGCTCGAGCTGGCCGCCCAGGCCCGCCTTCCCGACCCGCTTGTGAGGGTCTGCCCACCCGACTTGCCCGTCTGGTTCTACCGCGTGTTTTCTGCTCCTAGCTCCCCTCCTGCTAATTTCTCTTGTGCTCGATCCTCCGCCCTCCCCCTTCCATCCGTCATCTCTTCCCCTGTTTTAGGGGCTTCACTACATGCACATGCCAGGTAAAAAGGATACACCCCCAAGGGGGTACGATCGAAGACCAGCAGGGCGGCAACCGAGGGTTTGAGATATACGTATACCTATACGACCACCCTTCGGGTGATAAGGAGGTTCGGGGGGGGGGGGATCCAACGTCTCACTCAATCGGTCTCACTATCGATCTCAGTATCGATCTCACTATCGGTCTCGCTCGATCGATCTCACTTGATCGATCTCACTCGATCTATCTCATTCGATCGATCTCACAATTGATCTCTCAATCGATCTCACAATCGATCACACAATCGATCTCACATTCGGTCTCAATATCGATCTCACTATCGATATCACAATCGCTTTCACAATCAACGTCATCATCATCATCATCATCATCATCATCAACATCAACATCATCACCAACATCGTCATCATCATGAGGGCACTGTCATCATCATCATAAACATCATCATCAACGTCAGCACCATCATCGGGACAACATCACCATCATCACCATCACCATCATCATCTCATCATCAACATCATCATCATCATCGGGGCACAGTCATCGTCATCATCATCAGCAGCATCATCATAATCATCATCATAATTGGGACACCATCATGATCACCATCGTTCTCATCATCAACATTATCATCATTATCGTCATCATCCTCGGGACACCATCATCATCATCATCATCATCAACAACATCATCATCATTGGGGCACCATCATCATCATGAGCAACATCATCATCATGAGCAACCTCATCATCAACATCGACATTATCATTGTTATCATCATCGAGACACCATCATCATGACCATCATCATCATCATCAGCATCGTCATCGGGACACCATAATCATCAACATCATCATCAACATCATTATCGCCGGGACACCAGTTCCATCAACATCATCATCACCAACATCATCGGAATCATCATCATCATCATCATCATCATCATCATCATCGGGACACCATCATCGTCATCATCATCAACAGAATCATCGTGAGCATCATCATCCTCATCATCGGGACACTGTCATCATCATCGACACCATCATCAATATCATCATCTTCATTGGGACACCATCATCATCATCATCATCATCATCATCATCATCATCATCATCATCATCATCATCATCATCTTATCATCATCATCATCATCATCATCATCATCATCATCATCATCATCATCATCATCATCATCTCATCATCATCATCCTCGCGGGACACCGCGGGACACCGGCGGGACACCGCGGGACACTGCGGGACACCGCACACCGCGGGACACCGCGGGACACCGGCGGGACACCGCGGGGCCCCGGCCGCCCGGAAGGGAATCATTTGGTCCGGCCGCGCCTCAGCCACACGGGACACCAGCGGGACACCGGCGGGACACCGCGGGCCCCGTGCCGCCGGAAGGGAATCATTGTGGTCCGGCCGCGCCTCAGCCACAGGAGACTTTCTCTCGCCCGCCCCACGCAGCTTCGCCTCGCCCGCACGGCACGCACGAACACGAAACCGAAATCGATTTCCCGGTAGGGGGGCTCTCCGTTCCACTTCGATCTCACCCCCCAACCTCCGATTGAATGGCACGCGATCAGATAGGAGCGAACAGTCGTAAATGACTGTTGTTGATGTTGCTGCTGCTGCTGTTGTTGCTGCTGTTGTTGTTTCTGTTGTTGTTGTCGTTGCTGCTGCTGTGTCGTTGTTGAATGTTAATTACTCAACAATTATTATTGTTGGACCCCCCCCAGGCGCCTCGGCGCTCTCGCCTCGGCGCCGGCTACATTTTCATTGAAAATGAGACTCACGCTCGAGCGGTTTGGGGGGGCGCCCAAACCGGCCCCCCAACAACAACAAAGCTCCCGCTCGAGGTTTCCTCCTTTTTTGCTCAGGGCCGGTGCTCTTGCTCGCCGCCGAAAGCCGCCGTCCCAACAAAGCCAGCGCTACCGCTCGAGACTTGCTCCCGTTTCACGCTGGACTGGCACGCCACTCTTTCTCTCATCGGCGCCGCTCCCGCTCGAGGCTTCCTCCCTTTTTTACTCAAGGCGGTGCCCCCCCTCGCCGCCGAAAACCGCCGTCCCGACGAAACCAGCGCTTCCGCCCGAGACTTCCTCCCGTTTTACGCTGGACTAGCTAGCGCCCTACTCTCTTCAGCATTGGTGCCACTCCCAGCAACAAAAGCGGCCCTGTTCGAGACTTCCTCCCTTTCTATTCAGGGCCAGGTCCTTGCCTCGCCGCCGACAGCCCCCATCCCCACCAAGGCAATCCTGTCGCTCGATACGTCCTTGTGCTCTACCCTTGGGCGGGGCTCCACTTGCGGTCTCGCATCAGCGCAGCAATGCGCGGGCATGCGTTTTCGAGGCGGGATATGCTGAAAATCCTCGGAGGAGGTGTTTGCAAGACCTCATTGGGCGGGAGATCTGGGAGTGGGAATATCGGACCCGCTATAGAACAATCATCCCCCATGATCAGGATGGTTATCATGACGGTCGCCTGCTTCGTGTGGAAACATCGCGCATGAGGGTAAAGTGATTGTTGTTGTTGATGTTGTTATTGTCGTTGCTGCTGCTGCTGCTGTTGTGGTTGTTGTTGGCGGTGCTGATTCTGATTGTGGTGATGATGAGTATAAGTGTGGATGGGGTGGATGTATAGAAGAAGGCGGAGGAGGAGGAGAGGAGGAGGAGGAGGATAAGGACGACGATACCATCTTCCCAAGTAAACGAAGTGGGCTCTTTTTCCAGCACGTGTTTCATGCGCCTTCCGAAGGAGGAAGCTCGTGTCTTGGCGAGCCCGTCCGCGGCGAGCCCGTCCGACGAGACCTGTGCGGAGGAGCCCGTTGACCTCCCTCTCATGCTTCTCATTTTCCTAATCCTCCTCGTGCTGCTGCTGCTGCTGCTCCTCCTCCTCCTCCTGGACCTCATGCTCCTGCTCCTCCACCTCCCCTTCCTCCATCTCCTCCTGCTCGTGCTCCTGCGCCTGCTCCACCTCCTCTTCCTTCTCTCCCTTGCTAGTCCTCCTCCCTCCTGTTGCTCCTCCTCCTGCTCCTCCTGCTCCTCCTCGTCTTTCCTCCTGCTTCCTGCCCCCCTCCTTCTCGTCCTCTGCCTGTTCCTCATCCCTCCTCCTCCTCCTCCTCCTCCTCTTTTTCCTCCTCGCTCTACTCCTCCTGTCTGCCGCCTCCTCTCTCTTCTCTTCTTCCTCCTCCTCCTCCTCCTCCTCCTCCTCCTCCTCCTCCTCCTCCTACTCTCATCCTCCTTCTTTTCGTCGTCGTCCTCCTTCTCAAACCTCCTTATTCTCTTTTTTCCTGCGCCCCGTCCTCCTGCTCCTCCTCCTTCTGCTCCTCCTCCTGCTGCTGCTGTTGCTTTCTCTCCTCCTCCCCCCTCCTTCCCCTCCTTCTCCTCCCCCTATTCCCCTCCTCCTTCTCCTCCTCCTCCTCCTCCTATTCCTCTTTCTTATTCTTCTTATTCTTCTTCTTATTCTTCTTATTATTTTTATTATTCTTCTTCTTCTTCTCGTCCTCCTCCTCCTCCTCCTCGTCCTCCTCCCCCTTCTCCCCCTTCTCGGAGTTGCCCGTCAAGATGGCCGTCTCGCGCATGACGACGCAAGAGTTCCGCCAGGCCCGGGACGCAGCGATCCGTGCTGAAGAGGACGCCGGGGGCTCGGGATACGCGCCCGAGGGGCCTTGAAACGGGGACTGTGCATGGGGCGAGGGAGGGGTGGGCGGAGGGGTGAATGAGAGAGAGGGTGTGTTTGTGCGTTTGTGTGTGCTTGTGTGTGTGGGGTTGGGGGGGGGGGGGAAAGGGGGTGGCGGGTGGAGGAAGGGAGGGAGGAAGGGAGGATCATCCAAGGAGTACCCTACGCCGACGCTTTCGGGAAAGCTACCTCTGCTACTGCGGGCCGATTTCAGTTGAGTGGCCCTTCAGAGAGACCCTGGGGGACCCATTGACCCATCTGAGTGGGCGGCTCGCCCATTTCACACTTTCACGCCGTACCTACGAAGGTTCCGAATCTGGCCGTTTCCTTCCTCAGCCCTGCAGCCACATCTCGTGCAACCCCCGTAGTGCTCATAAAACGCAAGAGCATGGGTCCAATGAGCAGTACGAGAGCCCACGGCAAAACGAGAACTCTGCTGGTGCTGGGGTGTAGGGGGGCTGGACACTGTATGCACAACGAATTCTGCAGCACTCTACTGGAGGAGGTCTTCGAGGCCGCGCTCCTACATGCCCTGCAGCTCCAGCGAGCACGAATCTCCACAATGGCGTGAGAGGAGCGAGTCTGCGCGAGCGCGAGGGTGGTCGGCCTGGTCCTCCGTACGAGCCGCTCCCCCCCGCACGCCGTCGTGGCCTGGCGTTTCTCGGACTCGAGGGCGCAGCACGTAGCACGAGCAACTCCTCCTCCTCCTCCGCCTCCTCCTCCTCTTCTGTCTCCTCCTCCTCCTCCTCCTCCTCCTCATCCTCCTCCTCCTCCTCCTCCTCCTCCCCTCCTCCCCCTGCGCTTCTTCCTCCTCCTCCTCCTCGCCTCCTCCTCCTCCGCCTCCTCCTCCTCCTCCTCCTCCACTCCTCCTCCTCCTCCTCCTCTCCTCTCCTCCTCCTCCTCCTCCTCCTCCTCCTCCTCCTTCCTCCCCCTCCTCCTCCTCCTCCTTCTCCTCCTCCTCCTCCTCCTCCTCCTCCTCCCCCTCCTCCCCCTGCTCTTCTTCCTCCTCCTTCTCCTGCTCCTACTCCTCCTCCTCCTCCTCCGCCTCCTCCTCCTCCTCCGCCTCCTCGATGAGGGCAACACTTGAGTTGGCCCACTGGAGAAGCAGTCTAGCTGGGCGGCAGGGATGGTATGCGAGGCCGCCGCTTCCCCCGCTAGCCGATCCGCCACCTGTGTCCCGAGGCAGGCCATCGTGGGCACTCCCTTAGCAAACGACTCTTCAGGCCAGAGGTGGCTGTTCAGAAATCTAACACTCGCACACTGTCAGGGCCCCTGGCCCAGGCCCAGAGCTCCGTAACAGGGACGCCCAAAGCCAAAGAGCACCGTTCACACTCCGTCCCGCGAGCCTCAGTTGCACCCACAGAACACAACATCGCTGCCTGTCCAATACTCCAACTCTCCTGATACATATGGACTGGAGGGTAGAAAGAAGCCTTGTCATCTCAGCACGATTGTTTGTCTGGCGGTGGCCTGCCAGCGGCCCTCAGGCGCCTCCAAGCGCGGTTTACGCTCGCTCTTGGGAGCCTTGGCGTTAAAGCTTGTCACGTCATTGAAAGCCCTTGGGCGGATTGGTGTTCAGAGCGCTTTACGTTACCGCTTGCTCTTGGGGGCCTTCGTGTTCAGAGTTTGTCACGTCAGTGTGAGCTCGTGGGAGCCTAGGTGTTCAGAGCTTTCAGCGTCACCGCTCGCTCTGGGGAGCCTTCGTGTCAAGAGCTTGTCACATCACCATGGGCTCTTGGGATCCTGGGTGCTCCGAGCTTGTTACGTCACCGCTCGCTCTTGGGAGCCTTGGTGTTCAGAGTTTTTTTTGTTACCGCTCCCTCCCTCTCTCTCTATCTCTCTTGAAGCCCTTCTGTTACGAGCTTGTCACGTCAATGTGAGCCCTTGCCACTGTTAGTTAGTTTGCGTCTGCTGGCCTTCTGGGGGTTCTCTTCGGGCCCTGTTAGACCCTCTTCGGGTTTTGTTGGGCCGTCCTGGGGTCCTTTTTTTGGTCGTCTTGGGGCGACTTGGAGGGCTTTGGCAGTCTTGGGGCTTTCTTCGGGGCCTCTGGGGGACCTCTTGGGGGCCTCTTGGTGCCCACTTGGGGTTCTCTTGGGATCCTCTGAGGGTCCTCTTGAGCCGTCTTGGGGCCCTCTGGGGCCGTCTGTGGGCCCTCTTGGGTCGTCTGGGGGGGGGGGGAATACGGGCCACGCACGTGCACAAGCGGAACTTCCAGAACATTCTTGCGCGGCGCTGTGGCAAGACACCTTTTAGCTCTCTCCCCGCCTTCAAGCCACCTTCTGGAGAGATTCTGAATGGACACGGGACACGAGAAACTCTGGCCGGGGCAGACTGACGCGTCCATCGCGCGGGAGGCGCATGAAATGGGAAGACACTTTACGGCGATTCTGTGCGACGGAGGGGCATCGCAGCTGGACGCAGCTCGCTGCTGACCGGGACAAGTGGATCGGCCTGGAGTAGACGTACGTGGAGTCGTACTGAGCGGTGCGATCCCGCAGGCGCGCCCGTCCCTGGGCCTCCCCCCCCGGGAGCTGCGCCCCAGCCTTCCAGCCTTCCAGCCTTCCTGCGCGGCGCATAGGCAAAAACAACATTTTGTCCGCTCGCACGGCCCCGTTGCCGCCGCGGCTTACCAGCGACTCGGCGACCAAATTGCACCGCGGGGAGCGCCTCTTCCAGACAACTTTTGGACGGGGCTCGGGCGAGGGTGGCATTTCGCGCGCTGGCCGTTCGCCGTGTCTTTCTCTGGCTGTGCAAACTGCTATCTCGAAGGGAACGGATGGCGGCCGGCCACAGACCAGGCGTCGTTTTTGATATGTGATTCATTGCGCGAGTTGGGCATGAGGGGGACCTTGTATGTGAGTGTCGGGATCACGTCTGCAACTGCCCACTTCCCGAACATGCTGCTGTGCGAATTCCACGCGAAGTGGAGCCGACGTGCGACGCCCTTGCTCAAGCGGGAATACCGACACGGCCGCCAAATCCCGAATCCCTCGACCATTGTCATACGCGAACTCCTCGGCAAGGTGAACACGACGTTCAACGCGTATGGGAATCCAAAATGAGACCCGCGCTTCCCTGCCATGTGAGCTTCAGCCCGAATGTGAGCTTCAGCCTGGCATCTCGCAGCACACGGGCTTTTGCGTGTTGAGTTCCCACGCGTTTCCCGCGGGGACAACGCTCTTCTCCTCCGCCTCCTCCTCACCGCCCCCTTCTCCTCACCCCCCCTCTCCTTTGTCCTCTTCATCTATCCATATCCTCTTCTTTTACTCTTCCTCCCTACCGGCACTTCGGCCATCAATGGGTTCCCATCAGAAGTGAGCATGTGGTTGGTTGCCAAGTCGCTTCACCAGCGGGCAGTCAATGTGAAGGTGCCCCTCCCCCGCTTCGGGGTCACCACAGCAGCACCAAGGCGGGGAACGGGGGTGCGTTTCGATCAAGGGTAAGACGTTATAGCAGGTAGAGCCAAGAGTAGGGGCAGGGGCAAGAGGAGTATGATGAGGAAGAGAAGAAGGAGAAGGAATAGGAGGATGAGGAGGAGGCGGAGGAGGAGAAGGAGGAGGAGGAGAAGGAGGCATAAGAGGAACAGGAGGAGGAGGAGGAGGAGGAGAAGGAGGTAGAAGAGGAGGAGGAGGATGAGAAGGAAGAGGGAGAAAGGATGAGGATGAAGTAGGAGCCAAGCCAATCAGCTCGAACGAATCACCGGGCCGGCCTCCCTCCCATGACATAAGAGTCGAGCGAGTCTGGCGCGGGTGCGCGTTGGGACTCCGTTCGCTGGCGTGCGCTACTCCTGACAGCCTGGGCCCGCGCCCAAGCAGGACACGAACTTACAGGTTGGCACCAACACCAATATCGGCAGTGTGCCTTCACAGACTGAAGAAGCTCCCGATCTCGGCGATGGGTGGCCGAACTATTGCCACCATCACCAACATCTAGGATCGTCTTCCCCCCGTGGAGGCCCCCCCCCGTGTTGGTTTTGGTGTCGGTGCCCATTCCCAGGCCTCCAGGAATTTCTAAGAGAAACCTGCGCGGAGAGCGAATAATCAGACGCCGCGCTCAAGCGGGAGAGCAGCTTTCGAAGCATATCTGTGGGGCTCTGGGACGAGAGCGACATTTTGTATGCTCTGTCGTGCGGCAGCGTGAAATCATGCGCCGAGCTCAAGCGGGAGCGACACTTTCAGGAGACAGCCGCGCTGCCCCGAAGCGATAACGACGTGTTGCCCTTTCGCACGCGATGTGCGCTGCATCCGACGACGCATCTCGTGAAGTCGACGACGAGACGTCCACATTGATCGAGTGAGCATCGACTCGCTCTGTCTTTGGATGGGCAGGATGGAAGGGGCCCTGCCTGTGGCTCCGAAGGCCAGGGGACAGCTCGAACGCCGGGAAGGACAGGAGCAGAAATATCGCGACGAGGAGGCTGCGGGAGAGGATGGCCGCCGAGGGCCTCTCGAGGGCGCCGGAGGGCCGCCGGAGGGCCACCGAGAGCCGCCGGTGGCCGCCGAAGGCCCGGAGTCCCCGTGGTCCGTGGTCCTCGTCCGCCGCCCCGGGCACCGCGCGGAGCGCCGCGGAGCTCCGCGGCGGCGCCCCCGAGGGGCTCTGGGTGCGTCCCCGGGCCGCTGCAAAGGTCAAGAGGTCCGCCACCGCCACGGCCGAGTCCTCGCCTCCCGCGTCGAAGCAGGCGCCGTGGAGGGGAGCGGGGCTCTTGTCCTCGGGGCGTCTCCAGGGAGCGTTCCTCTCCTCCTGCTGCGGCTCACGCCGCTGCTCCTCCTGTTGCTTGTGCTGCTGATGGGCCTCTTCCTCCCTCGGCTCCTTCCAGTGGGCACCTTCCCTCTAATCCTCCCCTCCCTTTTCACCTGGCATCGCCCACGCATGCTTCTACCTTTACCCTCGACACTATTGACCTCAGGCATGTGTTACGCAGTTTCCATGCCGACGTGATGTTCTGGGTTTGGGTGACATTGCGTGCCAAGTACTTGTTGGCGCCCCCCCTCCAATGTCGGCCATCCTGGAACTTTCGAGGCACACTCGCTAAGGCCGCGTTTCGCCCTGCTTCGACATTGAAGGAGGTCGACACTGAAGGGGTGAATGGGAGCGACATCGAAAGGGGGCGTCCACCATTTTTGAGATTAATTTCATTCGAGGGCTGTGTGTATGTGCTTCGGCTCCGCAGGGGCGACAGGCGCGCTCAGAACTCCTTTAGTACAGGTTCGATGGCGGGCGCTTTCTGGCGACGCCGCCTGGGTACGGATATCTTATACCATGCCTGTGCTATACATTTCGTTCGGACGTGCGCCTCCAAGGGGGGCGCATAGCAAGACAACCTTGGACAAGGTCTTATGCCAACGCCGCCGCACGCCCATGCCGATTCACGGCGTGCTGGGAATGTTCACGCCCCTGCCGCCTGCTCTTTTCGTGCAGCTCAGTCGTGTTGCACGTGGACCCCCCAAGAAACGGGTACGCATGGTTCATTTCTAATTCTTCGAGCTCTTTGATTTTTTGGTGGGCCAAGATCCTTTCATTTCTAATTGTTCTATCCTGGGCCTCTTCCTGGCCACTAGGGGGCCAAGAACAATTAGAAACGAGCACAACTAGAAATGAGCACGATTGGAAATAAACGACGTGTACGCATGGCACCGTGCCATTACTTAGTCTGCACACGCCCACCACGACATCGGTCAACTGTCCATTCTTGTGTCGAAGAACACACGTGACACATTCAATTGTTGTGCTGAGACCACGTGGCGTCCATCACGGATGTTACTCCACACCGTACACATGCCGTCGCGGATTTGTTTCATCGCCCGGACCAGACCAGGCAGCTTGTCAGGCCTCAGGCGAAATTCGTCCCATTGGGTCCCCTTGCGAGGGCGACATGCACGTTCGCGAGGACGTCTGGCCTTTTCGGCGGCCGACGCACGGGCGGCGCACGGGCGACGAATGCGCGACGCACCTGTTGTCGGGAACGGGGGGGTGTCAGCACGCCGGTCGAACTACTGGGTCTTAACAGTCCCAAGCCAGGCCGAGCCAGGCAAACTTTTAAGGACGTTTCGGGCGAGACTGGGCCCAAACCAGGCCAAGCAAGGGGCTAAACCAACCAAGTTCTGAGGACTTCTCAGGCAAAACCGAGCCCAAACCACGCCAAACCAGGCAAATCCTGAGGAAGTCTACGTCTCAGGCGAAACGGGGCCCCAACCAGGCCAAACCAGGGGCCAAACCAGACAGACCTTGAGGGTGTCTCAAGCGGGCCGCGCGGCCCAACCGGGCCAAACTCTGGGTCTTACCGGGCAGGTTTTGATGACATCCCAGGCAGAATCGCCAAAACCAGGCTTCACCCATTGTCCTTCGCAAGATTTTGTTCCCTGCCTAGGCTGTGTCTAGAGGGTTCTTACTTCGTTTGCTTAAAGGGGCCGGGCAGAGTAAAATGCCCCGCGGTGCCCCCAGTTGCGCCCCTGGGTTCCCCTAGTTCAGCTGAGCTTAGCTTAGCTTAGCTTAGCTTAGCTTAGCTCAGCTCAGCTAAGCTTAGCTTAGCTTAGCATAGCTGAGCTTAGCTTAGCTTATCTTAGCCTAGCTGAGCCTATCTTAGCTTAGCTTAGCTTAGCCTAGCTTAGCTTAGCTTAGCTTAGCTTAGCTTAGCTTAGCTTATCATAGCTTAGCTTACCTTAACTTAGCTTAGCGCAGCGCAGCACAGCGCAGCGCAGCATTAGCACAACAAAACAAATCATAGCATACCATAGCCAAACATATCCAATTATATCATAACCTATCATGGCATTATCATAGCTCACCATATCATATCATAGCAATGCATAGCATCGCAATGCGTAACATAACGCAGCATATCATATCATATCATATATGCTGGTGTAGATGTAAATATAGCTGTCGGTGTAGATGTTGATGCTGCTTTCCTAAATGCTCCAAGTCCTAGGTAGGGTCGCACTGGGATAATTTTGAGGGGGTGGATCGCCCCGGCCCCCCCCCCCCCCGCAGACGGAAGCTGGGGGGGGGGTTGGACCGCGCGCCCGCTCATGCACCATGGGTTGGGCGCAGAAGTCTTCGTTTGTCTTTCGGGTATTATTTGGGCTTTGGTGTGGCGCGCGGCGAACTACTTCCGCGCGTTTAGTATGTCCTTCTGCACCCCATTCTCCTCGCCCAATTCAGTGCCCCTCCCGACGTGTCCGTTCTGCGAGGGGAGCAACCCATGCTGTGAAGGTGCGGCCTCGATGTGGCAGGCCGCGTTGGCCATGCTCAGCACAGCAGGCATCGCCCGCCAGGCCAAAGTCCTCCATCCCCCTCCCGTTCAGCTCAGGGGTGCCATCAGCCTCTCTCTCTTCGGGCGCTGGCTCTCGGCGCTGCGCCGGCGATGCGTGTTGGCACGCCTCACTGCGGCCTTCGGGTTTCGGCCCAGCTGCCCGGCGCTGCGCTGTGGGCCGCCCTGCTGCGCTGTGCCGCGGCCCCTCGGTGCCTCACGCCCCCAGCGGATGCGGTCGGGCCGCCAGGCCGGCTTTGGTACGTCACCGTCCGCCTCGGTGCCGGTGCGTTTGCAGAGAGCCTCGCCTTCGAGGGATTGGGAGGCTGGCGTCTCTTCCTCCTCCTCCCCCCCTCCTCCTCCTCCTCCTCCTTCTCCTCCTCCTCCTCCTCCTCCTCCTCCTCCTCCTCCTCTCTCCTCCTCTTCCTCCTCCTCCTCCTCCTCCTCCTCCTCCTCCTCCTCCTCCTCCTCCCCCTCCTTATCCTCCTCCTGTTCGCCCCATTATCATGGCCTATCCTCCTCCTCCTCCTTATCCTCCTCCTTGTCCTCCTCCTCCGCCTCCTCCTCCTCTCCTGCCGCGCGATGCCTACCCGTGCCTGAGCGCAGTGGGAACGGTTGATGCTGATCCCGCCGCTCTCTCCCTGCGTAGGCTGAGTGACCATGGCGTGGTAGGCCTTGTGCTGGGGCTTTGTCGAGCGAGACCGATGGCGGAGCGGAAGATTCCCACTTTTGTCTTCTCGGCCCCACTGTATCCGCAATACTTCCAGGAGGTACATGCTGGTGAGCGGGAACTCCTCCAAGCTCGTGGCGATGATGGTGGCACTCATTAGGAATGGGCTGCAGTGAAGCGAGCCATGGTCTCGGCGGCGAAGGCCACGAGGAACCACTTGCTTGCGCTTCCCGACCTGCAGTCCCTGCCTGGGGGTGCGGAGCTCAATGCCCTGGTCATGCGCTCGGCGGCTAGGGCCATCTGGATGAATGACGCCACGACAGCACGCATGCTGCTGAAGACCTCTCCCCTGGCGCGCCGTCACATTCGCATCCAGGATGGCAGGGCGGTGGCCGTCGCCACCCACGTCTTCGGGGAGGCTGTGCGGACCTCCACGGAGCGTATGCTGGATGAACGGCGACAGGATGCAGCTCGGCGTGCCCGACGCGCGGTTGCGGCGGCTCAAGCGCAGGAAGGCGACTACTGGAAGCGGAAGCAGGGCAGCATTCTGAAGAATGCCCAGCTGTGGTTCCGCAAGCATCCTGTTTGGCATCTCAACGGGGTCAAGGTGTGCGCGGAGGCGAGGGGGGTCTGCAGTGGCGGGCATGCGAGCCCTCTGGCCTTTCCTGAGAGCTGCGCGATCCCTGTTGCTACGGCAGGGGGACTGGCCTCATCGAGTGTTCCCGAGGCGTCTGCGCATGCTTCTCGGTTCACGGTGAAGGATGCAGACGCCATGCTGAATGCAGTTCGCGAGTACTGGGGCCCCGTCTTCAGAGAGAAGGACATCGACGTTGACGCGGCCACAGTGTACCTTGAGCGTTGGTTTCGCGACTGCCAGCCGCCGTGAGGACTTCGCCTTCCGTGCAGAGGACCTCATGCGGGCGGCGAGGCACGGCCGCGACTCCTCCCCTGGGCCCAAGAGGCTGCCGCATGTCGCGTGGGCGAGGACGCTTGCGGCGGTCGCCTGTCTCTTTCGGCTCTGCCAGGAGGCGCTCGCGGGGCGGGGCTTCCCTGACGGCTTCAACCACGGGCTGCTGGTGTTCATCCCGGAGAATATAGTGAGGCCATCTGCGCCTCAGATGTCATGCGCCGTCCTGGGGCGCTGCGGCTGCTCGTGCTGCTCAATGCGGACAGGAAACTGATTGCGACGATGGTCAACCATGAGCTGGCGGCGGTGGCGCAGCGGGAGGCGGCAGCGGTCCAGCGGGGCTTCGTCCGCGGCGGGAGCTTCATCCCGAACATCATCCACCTTGACCTGATGGCTCGCGCATTTCGGGGCATCTGCGAGTCGGAGGGAGGTCACCCTGCGCTGCTCACGCTCGATGTGACGGCTGCCTTCCCCAGTGCCAACAGGCGAGGGATGCTGATGACCTTGGACAAGTGTGGCATATGCGAGGCCACCATGACCCTGGTCTCGGCCATGTACGACAAGCAGGTGGCATGGCTGAGGGTCAGCGACGTCTTTTGGGAGGCCTTCACGGTAACGGCGGGGGTTGCTCAGGGATGTCTGATGTCAGGCTCATTGTGGGCCCTGCTCTTCTCACCTTCCCTGGGGCATCTGGCCTCTGTGCTGGACGTGCCGTGGCGGGGAGAGTCTTGGAAGCTTGAGCGCCCCATTGTGTTGCGCAAGGGTGGCGTCAAGGGCTGCGCTGATGATGTGGGGGTCGTGATCCGCGACCTCCCCTTGCTGTCGCCGATCGGCTCTGTCTTCGATGGCGGC